TGGAGATGCAGCTGAGCGATATGATCATTCCCATTCTAAGCGATGCCGGAGAGGTGTGGGAAGCTATCCAAGGTGGTGATCTTGCGACCGAGACTGCTAGGCTTAACATGCAAGTGTTTACAATGAGATACCCAAATTGTCAGTACGTTGTTCCCTAGTCTCATTCCGGACGGGATTCTGCCTGCGGGTTCTAAAACCACCGGTTTTGTCATCATCGAGCCACTCACGCTCGTCCAACACCTCATGGACTCGGTAATATCACTCCAACAATCAATTATTTACATATATATCCAGCTTTCTTATCTATCTCTATATTAATTCTTTCTTATCATATACTATATATGTGTTTGGTCAAATGGAGGATTTTTTTCGCCTGCATCATCGCCGACGAGCTCCCTGATCACAAAGAGCAGCATATTGCGCACATAGAAGGAGAGACACCACACGCAAGCATCCCCGTAAATGTTCATTAATATATATACTCCATGATGAATTAATGGGATGAGATCGTCCGATCCATTCATTTAATTACCTATGTAGAGATAGGAAACTTGGTATCCAAGCCTAATTAGCTAAATCTGACAAGCAGATGATGCGAGCCAGCTTTCACGTGATGACTCCTCTGGTGGGAATAAGAGAGACCACATTCACAAGGAGACGCGTTCGTAGACCAAATGGTGACTGGCTCGTGTTTGACTTGCCCATGAACGACAACGAGCAGCAGCTGCCTTTCATACGCGGTTGCCTGGTGAGCAGAAATGATGACCAGGTTCCCGGAATCTCACGTGTAACTTGGTTACAACTAGCGCAATACAGACTTCCTGTTGAAGCCGGGCTGCTTGAGGGTGGTCGAGGCTTCGGGTCTCGCCGTTGGTTTGAGACGTTGGCCAGAGAATGCCGGTTGTTTTTTCTTCTCCTTTACTTCCATAATCACATATATATTGGTTTGATATAACTAGCTAGTGAGCTCATGTTTGCTGATTTTTGCACGCAGGCTTGCAAGAGGAAGAAAGACAGTTTCTTGTTTTGGCTCAAAGGATGACCCGCATCTTCTGCTTGGGCATCTCCGGGCCGGTCGTTTGATACAGATCCGATAAGGGAAGTTTCTTTTGGGACATCTTACCGTACGGACGAGGACGAAGGTGCGGTAAACTACGTCACTGCAGCCAAGTCTCAACGGATCAATGTAGCCTATGGTACCGTGTTCACATACGTCCAGACTCTCCATGACCCTGATTTTGGCGATGCAATTTCCCTAGTACCAAATCACGATCCAAACAACTATGCCGGTCTTTACATGCACACCGGGGATCACAACAAGCGCTTTATCAGAGAAAGCACTAAGGACGCTTGTGGAGCAACTGTGGTCATGGCTCCCATAGCCAAAGAGAGGCTCACCAAAACTTTCAAAAAGAGGACCAGAAAGAACGACCTCATTTTGGATTACGTCGGGTACGCCGTTTGTTCCCTCGGACCACAAACCCTATTGACCGTTGCCCGCCAGCGCAATATCGGAGACTATCACGCAAGTATCACGAACGTTCAACGTAACGAGGCTTGGAAGGTCCACGCTGCTCAGTACATATCCAACCGCATCGCCCAAATCCAAAACCATTTCCAACCCTAGCTAAGGAAGTCAAGTCCCGCATCCAAAGGCATTTCGGCCACCACTAGGAAAATGAAATTACTTCAACCGCTTTACTGCTTTTAGTTATTGACTTATTTCCGTCTTTGTTTGCTTCTCCAAAGTTTCATTGACCAATAATAATCTATGGCTTGCTACTTTTAGTTATTTCCTTCCTGTTTGCTTCTCCAAGGTTTCATTGAGCAATAATAATCTATGGCTACTTTTAGTTATTTTTCATGACTCTTCCCCATTTTGCCTTGCAAACGTACTAATATAACTTTAGGTTTAATCATATACCTATATCGAGTCATAATTATCTCACAAAGGTTTAACTATTAAGGGTATGTGGGGTATATATGTCCAAGTTTTCAAAGGCCAACTAATTCAACAATTGAAATGATGAGCAGGTAGGTGCGTAATATATCTTCTTCGAGAATCTCATATTTTTCTACACGGTATAACGTTTTTGGGAAGAGTCGCTTGTCCTCTTCTTTCTGACCCATTATTCAAAATACAATATGGTGGTCCTATCTAATCTCTCTCTCTAGTTTCTATGCCTTTCCCCTTTTCTACTGGTGATGGTATTCTAGTTTCTTCATTTCTTGAAAAAGCATACGCCATACGGTACAAGAATAAATCGACAAATTTTGGGAAAAAAGCATTGAAATAGAAAGGTGAAAAAGACTAGATGTCAATTAGTGCATGGGTTTTAAGGCTGATGTAGTTCTCATTTCTCAACCGCTCTTCTTAAGCTGTGATTGAACGGAGGATACCTACCGTACCGTGATCCCCGTTGCTCCGGTGTCTACTTGTGGCGATTCTCTTAGAACATGATCAACGTTAGTTATTAGTAAATTTTTTAATGCGTTGTTTAGGATTAAAAATAATTAAATAATCAAATAATCTTATACACGGCTAATTTTAGCATTTTAAGCACTTCAAAAAATGAGTTGCTAATGTTAAAAATAATAAAATAATTTTAGTACCCTAACTTTAGTAACAATGGTTGATCATGCTCTTAGTTTCTGGCCGAATCTTAGCAAAACGCCAATGAGAGACTTAAAAAGTATAAACATCATTTAATTTATAGTAAACAGATTCGAACTTACAGGCCTTCTGGTGGCCCAATGTCGTCAAAACATCGCCACGGCAGTGACGGCACTAATAACTACTGTACGCCGTTTCCGTAACCCATATTACAAAACTGCTTGCTGTTTTGCTATACCTCGGTAAACTTGTCTGCGTCAACAGTTTTTAAAAAACGCCATGTAGTGTTATCAAATGTCATTTTCGATGGGCCAACCTATCCATCCTTTTACAAATAATGGCCCAACAAGGGCCCACGTATTTGTAAGAGAGTTTTTGCACACGTGATATTTAGATCAAGTACGAGACGCGTGTACAAGCAAACAAATGAGATTTTTTAATCGTGGGAGGTATTATTGGCCATTACACTGGTCTTCGTATTATGAGGTCGACCACATTACGTTTTTCGAATTATATAATTATCTAATGGTTCACTGTAACATGCCGTCTTGTCGGTACGGCTCCTACGGATTCGTTTTAAAAATTTATTTAACTATAATTATGAAAATTCAAAAAAGAAAACAACTTATAGTTTTATATAAAAAAACTTATATATTTTGATAGCCGGTGATAGGTAGATTTGATGTAAATACAGTACGCATGTTCCACGCGCAGCTTGTCTATAGATGTTTCACGCACATGCAGTTTAGTGTAGATGCATTATCTTTGAAAACCGGTGCTTTATTTGAAATGTCACTAAATTTATATGATTTGATTAGTTTCTGTTGAGTGTAACATATAGGAGATTAGCATTGGTTCAACCTGAAACCTTTAATAAATCATACATACTTTATATCAATTATCAACACGACATCCTCAAATATATATTGTGGTGTATCATGATGTCAGCAGAAGATGGATAATGTTAATTAAATAGTATTATACACAGCACTGCCACTACAGTTGCGGATTCTATATGATTTACGATCTTAATTTTGTCTTGTGTATGTTTAGGTATCATATATTCATCATTTGACAATAGCTTATTTTTAAAATAATGGTAATTCATTCATATTAAAGTGATATAATAGCTTCTGAAGGTTTTGATAGTGATTGCGTCCATTACTCAATAAAACTGCATCGTCCAAAAGACAATAGTTGACATAAATGATTCCCAAAACACATGTAAATCGAAGTGGTCGACAATTTTTTATTTTTTTTTTTCAAAACCAAAACACACCACTATTTAGCTTTAGCAAGAAAATCGTCAATCATTCAAAATGTATTAAAAAATCTGTTAAAATTCTTATTATACACTGGACATAATTTTTTTGTTCAACACGCTTGTTATCAATTATCACTATCAGCAATTCAGCATTTTAGAACTTTGATATAATTTGAAAAAAAAGAAATATCCCGACCAAAACAAATAAAATAAACAAAATATCGTACGGACCAAGACTGAAATTAATATCACGCGTCTCACGCGCGAAAAGTGAGAGAGTGACAACCAAAAAAGTCAAATCCACCGCTCAAAAACGCCGTCGTTTGACGATTAGTTATCTTAAAACGACACACTTTTTATTTTCTGCCCTTTTTCA